TTGTCTGCGGGTGGGGGAGGCAATTTTGTGTTCATTCCTTCTGTCGGGGTGTGATCTGCTGTTGTTGCACCCTTCTTAGTTCAAGATCCATGGAGGGAAGTCTCCTTGTCTGCATATCATTGCGGGAAGGCATCTGTGGACCTTTTCCGTTTTCGCCCTTTTCGCCCATCTGTCGGGCGCACAGTTCTGTGATACAGCCCTGTCACCTTACCACCTTTTCCGTTATGGCTTCCTCCACTCTCATCCTTTCTGCGTGCTGCTGTACTTGTCCAGCTCTTTGTCGGTACACTGCTTCTGGCTCTACATATCCTGTGTGAGGGCAGCGGGCTCTTGCTGTGGAGGGACGACAGATTGTCTGGTCTTTGCAGCCAGGGCTTCCGTGGCTTGGTATTGTTGTCGCTGCTCTTGTTTCTGTTTCTGTAGAGTAGTCTGGTCATTGCTGTGTTGGTCATGTTTCTACTGCTGTGCTTGTTGTGTCTGAGGGGCAGTGATCTGCCCATTCGGCCAGTTTGGTGCGGAATGCTGTGCAGGTGCCATTGTTTGTGGCTTCAGACATGTCGTGTCCAAGTGCTTGGTCACACCCAACCGGTTTGCATTTGGATTCCGGGTTGCTGGGTGTCTACCGGTTGTATCGTTTGTGCTGCCTATAAAGGTTGTACTGACTGTTGTGTCTCTATGTTTCACTTCTACTGGTCGAGCGGTTGTACAGGCTGTGCAGGCTGTTGTGTCACTGTGTGTCTGCTCTGCTGGTTAGGTTGATTGTGGGTTCTCCATTGGGTCCCCGCTTGGCTTTGGTGATCGTGAGTGCGGTCTGGTCGTTGTTGCTGCGCATGCTGGGCAGACACGATTTGCTGTGTCGAGTTTCGCGGGATTGCTGCGTCACCACAGTTGGGGGAGGACCCGGCCTGTTGTCCTGATATGTAGGACTCTGTTTTTGTTGCACCCCTATATTCATAGTCTGCTGCATCCCTCTATACGTAGTCCGGGACGAGGAGGAGGGGCCCGGTTGGCCCGATTGGCCCGGGTCTGATCTAGATCCCTTGTTGGTTCGTCCCCCTCTGGTCTGACCTTTGGTTGTTGTTGCATTAGCCGGGGAGGGAGATGGTCGCCCCTCCCCTTCCCACCTCCATTCTCCCAGGATGTTGAGGGCTAGTCTATAGAAAACCCAGTCTTCACAGGCCCGGTCTTCGGGGACCCATCTACCTGGGCTGTCTGGGTGCGGTCTTATGAGTCCTTGGGTGTGGTTGTTTCGATAGTTGGGGCACTGCAGGTCCGTGCACAGATGGCCCTGACCTGATTTGACAGCTAATTGGATTGGTTAGCCCTTAAGAAAGAATCTGATCGGATTCAGGGGCTCGCCACTCCACTGTCGAAGACACTATTTTCGATATTTTCTCTTGTTCACACATCCTGTCGAAATTGGAGCCAGGAAGAAAATTTGCAAGTTGTTAGAGAACACTTCTCAACACCTCCATTCAAAAGTTGTTGAACACCCAGTCTGCTACTCCGATGCTTTCAACAGTGCTCGGCTGCGCGATCGACTTCTCCTCAAAATTTGGCGAGTGGGCGTGAGGTCGGAATGGACTAATGCTTGTCGTACCCTCATGCGCGTTCGTCTTTTTCCATCTTGCATTCACAAGTGCGTTCATTCTACAGTGCGGTGTGGCTAAAGGGGGGCGAACTGTAGAAGGGAGGCTGTCATTTATTCTGACAACCGTCAAATTTTTTTAGCCTGTTCGACAGTGGTGTGGCGAGCCCCTCAGAATGTGTAACAGTCGAAGGGTCTCGCTCCACTACTGTCTGCAATACACAATTTCGTACAGTTGCCATATAGCTGTGAGAGCGCTAAAAAACGTATAAGACCCGGCGTTGCTCCACTTACTATCTGCTATACAAGTCTCGAATTCCCGAGTTCATTACAAAACACCCTTAGAGCACTACAAGACAGCAGTTTGTCGGCCCAGACTCCAGGCGGACTGTCTGATATAGCATTCGGACTGCGCCCTCCTTCGACCACCCTCCGAATAACAACATTTGCAGGCTGGGAACTATAAAGAATTGACAACTATACACGGACTTTTAAAGGTATGTTTCGTATAGTAAGTGGAGCTACGTCCAACTATACGAAATAGTATAGCGGACAATAGTGGAGCGAGACCCATAGTGTCGCATATGGATGTCGAATTGGCAACGACGTAGGAACTGCCACCTACTATGCTCTTGCCTCCCTGCGCTACCGAAGCCCTGGCGTGTTCGCACCAGCGCAAATATTATTTGCTTGCGGGTATGTGGTGTGGCGAGGCCAATCATTATGGACTGGCACAAGGAGCCAAGTCCCACTTGGCCGGATTCTTCATTCCTGGTTGTTGATCTTCGCAATGTCCACTCAGAAATCGAGAATTCGCACAAGTTCAACATGGCCCAAGGGATCAGGTCCTGAAACCTCTGTTGCTTCGCCACGGACCCTCAGGATTTACACTGCTTACCGTGTATTGCAAATGATTGACACTCTTCTCTCAATTTCACTTCGCACTACCAACATACGGCTACTCCTAATTGTAGGCATACGGGAACCCTGTAGCAGCGAGAACCATGTTCACAAGAGAACATGTGGGGGCTGCTCCCGACCTGCAGGTGGGCAATACCGGCCAGCCAGTGGCATCAGGGACCACCACGCCAACAGGACCAATCTTTGTGCCTCCCCTCAGGTGGTGGTCCCCTCCCCTTCGAACATCAGCGGTAGTGTGAGGTGAAATTGAGAGAAGAATGCAGCTTTTATAAAAAGCAAACAACAAAAAGAAAATGATTGACACCAACTGGGCTACTGGTAGCTCAGTTGGTACACCCCTGAACTGTTGAGACGCAGACCTGAGTTCAAACTCCACGCGAAGCAGATGAGGCCCTACATTGTTAAACACAAGCTCGAGTTCGAACTCCACTCGAAGCAGATGAGGCCCTGCAGTGTTGAAACACAGGCCTAAGGCTCGGACCCCACCGCCCGGCGGCTGGAAAAGGGAAGTGGCCGCGAAAAGCTGGCTACCGTCCCTGGAAATTTTTTGGCAGTTTTGGAAGCGACCACACCGCCAAGTTCTGGCGGTGTTTTGGAAGCGGGCTGGCTTTCCGCAATAGGAAACCCGGTAGGGGCCCGTCCCGAAAAGGAAAGTGCGGACGGTCTGAATGGACCAGCAGACATGTCCTCGCGTATGGATTGTCCGTTGGGGGGGTTGCGGCGCATGCCGTACACGCCAGCGAGCGACGGAGTGCGGAGTCCCAGTGCGACGTCCCCAAAAGAAGGAGGTTCCGGATGCAGCAACGGCCATTTTTGTTCGTGCCGTTGCCGATCACCTGCCCAGGTGAGATTGAAAACGGACGTTGGGTCTGTGGGTATGTTGTCGGTCCTGTTCTCTCTGCAGTCGTTGGCACCCGGGGGAGATTGCAGCGCACCTGCGCGTGGCACTCGCCATTCCCCTACGGACAGTGGGGTTCCATAGCTGACGGAGACGGCTGCTGTGTCACCGGCTCAGCGGACGCGTCACACGTTGTGCCCGGATGGAAGCCATGGATGCGTCAGGAGGAGGTGTGCGGCATCCTCACAGCGAGGATGCACTGGTCATGCTGGTTCTCTTCCTGTTCCAGTTGGTGAACAGACAAAACGCGGCAGCGTTGGCGGTTGTGGAGGCAGTATCGGTGATGCCTTTCCTCCACCAAAATGTCTCCGCTGCGGTGACACTCCTGGCGGGGGGGATCTTGCATGGTTTTGCGTTGGGTTCGTTGGCTGTGGAGGAGATGGGGAGGACAATGGACCGCAGACGTCGTCTGTGGGTGTTGGAGCGCTGCGGCGGTGTGTGGAAGGACCTCCAGCGAGTGGGGGGTGAGCACGACAAGGTATTCGTGCGGTTTTGCAGACTCCCACAGCCGTTGTTCTTCGAAGTTCTCGCTCGCATCAGCCCGCACATCCAGCGCTCGACCACGAACTTCAGAGAGCCAATACCCGCCGGACAGAAGTTTGCATGTGCTCTGATGAGATAGGCAACTGGCGGATATTACAGGCAGTCCTCCCACAGTTTGGGCATGGGCCTCGCGAGTGCTTTGCGCAGCAACGAGGACATGGCGGACGCCCTAATCCGGGAGTACGGCCACCTGCTACGCTTCCCTACAGGACAACGGCTGGATGACGTGCAGAACGGCTTCGAGCGAAAAGGGTTCCCCGGGTGTGTGGGCGCAATAGATTGCACCCATCTATATATAGAGAAGCCGAAGGGAGAGCGATCGGAATGCTATTATCACCACACCGGGGGGTTTTCGATTGTTGCACAAGTCGTGTGCGACCACGAGTGTCGGATTTGCAGCGTTTATGTGGGATGCCTGGGGTCTGTGCATGATTCCAGAGTTGTGCGCATGTCGCCACTCTACGTACAGACTACGTCGGGTACAGGAGTGCTGGCTGAGGGGGGTGCCATGCTACACGACGGTAGACATATTGGGCCGTATCTGCTTGGTGATCAAGGGTACCCCCTTCTCCCTTAGCTCATGACTCCTTTCGGCCTGTTTGCTGTGACATCAGCGGATCGTGCCTTCGACGTGAGTCACAGCGCAGCAAGGTCGTGCATCGAGCGAACATTCGGCCGTTTGAAGGCGATATGGAGGAACTTCATTCGCAAACACATTTGCAACTTGAAGACCGTCTGCAAAGAGTTCATGACCGTGTGCATTCTTCACAACCTCATGATTGACCACGGCGTGGAGATCGACCCGGCGTTGATGGAAGACAGCAGTGACAGCGATGGAGACGATCACCATCACCGGGACCGTAGGCAACGCAGGCGCCGCCGCAGGTTCAACCGCCATATGTCGGACTTGAACATCGAGGCTGCGCCGGAGGATGAGCCTACTTATGGGGTTATGGGGGGGATCTCGCCAAACACGTCATGGCAAGCCTGGTTGAGCACGTGCGGCACCACACTGCAATCTACGGAGCTCCGGCGCCATGCCCGTGGCGGTAGTGGTGTTCTGTCGACGTAAAAGTCGCACGTGCTCAACCAGGCTGATGCTCATGGTCGATCATCCACATCATTTGGGGAGATGGCGATAGGGTCAAAGAAGAGCTTGTTGTAGCTGATGGTCGATCATCCACAGCGGTGTGTTCGTCGATAAGTCGTGTGTGTGTCATTTACGTCGTTCGTAGATCCTGTCGGGTTGATAGGAGCGTAGTCTTCGTTAGACGCACCGGAAGATTGTGTCCGGGACGGGGGGTTTTGAAAACCCGTCGGTGCGAATTTCATGGTCGTTGTGCTTCGTAATTATATTTGGTAAACACTTTTGTTGGTTGTCTTCATTCGCAGTCGGTCATGATGTTTGTCCGTTTCGTCATTTAATATTTGTTCAGCCATGCATATGAACACATATATCAAAGCATTTGATGTCAGTCAACACAGAGAGGGTAGAGCATTCCTTTGATCTCATAATGTAATCTTTGTTCACCCATGCACAGAAAGCATATGAATTCAAGCAATTAATGTTGCGAAATGTATAATTGGAAATGATATACCACCCATGCATATGAACATACGAACATATTAATTCACCCATGCATGTAAAGATTTGAACACATATCTTTACAGAAAGCGGGAGACAAGTTTCCACCAATAACATGCGGACGTGGAAAGTTTTTGGCATACACGACGATCATTCCTTGGACGACCATGAACAACCGAATGTAAAATTCGCGACAAAAGCCTTCAACACACCCAATGAGAACATGAAATCGGAGCACAATAGCAACACAGTGTCCGGGTAAAGAAGCCGCCCAGCAATTGGTTTAAGGGCGACACACACAAAATAGCGACGACGGCTACAAACACAAACATGCACATAACCCAAAAAAACATTAAAAAAAAAAAAAAAAAACGCTACGCAGAATCCGAAACGATTACAAAAACCGCCGACTCCTTTACGAGTTCGTTTATATACGTAACGAAATGACTTCAAAATTCGTCGATACTTGTGCCGTTGGGACGATTCACCCGAGTGGACGGCATCATCACCATCATCACCATCATCCTCGTCATCATCATCGCCGGGGACATCATCGCCATCATCATCATCATCATCATCATCATCATCATCATCATCATCATCATCATCATCGCCATCAACATCATCATCATCTCCATCATCATCATCATCACCATCAACGTCATCATCGACACCATCATCATCGCCATCACCAACATCATCATCGTCATCATCGTCGTCATCGTCATTATCATCATCATCATCATCATCATCATCATCTCCATCGTCACCATCAACAGCATCACCATCATCAGCATCACCATCATCAGCATCACGACGTCACCAGCGCCCCCATCGTCATCAACAGCATCATCATCATCATCATCAACATCTATTTCTCTCTCTCTCTCTCTCTCTCTCTCTCTCTCTCTCTCTCTCTCTCTCTCTCTCTCTCTCTCTCTCTCTCTCTCTCTCGTCAACCACAAACGAACGAACGGACTCCAGCGAACTCGGAACACACAGAACACGAGCATTCATGGCGCTTCGGTTGTACACGTCTTCTGTCTTCGGTCGGTGTGACAAGCGCCGCCGATTCAAGGCCTCACTTCCCCGTGCAGATACGGCCTGCCCACCAACGGCGGATCAAGAGTGCACCTCCAAAACGGGAGCGGATCTAGGCGGCTTGCGTACAGGTCGGCAAGCGTGGAGATGTAAAGAAGCACGATCTCCCCTGCCAGATCAACGGGATGGCCGCCCCACTCGTTCGGGATCACATCCCCGACCTTCGTGACGAAGATGAGCACATGTCCCAGTTCGTTTTCGAAGAATCCCAATCCCACCTCCATCTTCATAGCGGGGACCCCATCGACATCGACTTCATAGAAACGGATGGAGCGACGTGTCATGCCATTCGCGAACTCGAAGTCCCTCGTGTGGTACCCGTCCCTCTGGTGGATCATCTCGTAGACCATAACCCCCCTGCCGTCGATCAAACCACGGCAGAAGACACGCCACATCCATCCCTCTGCGTGCCCCTCCCTCCACTCTGTCTTTGCCTCTCGCCAGATCCCTCCCCTTCTCGCAAATGTGAAATGGAGCCGGCCGATTCTACGGTCATTATGCGGTGGACCGCGCACCCCCACACCCTCCACACGCCGCTATGCAACCAACATCACCAGCGGAGACAGTCCGTGTCGCCATGCTACTCCCTCACCTCTGGAAAGTGCGATCACTGCCGACGAGAACCCGTTCTTTATACACGTGCCTCGGGATGGCCCGCCGGTGTGGTGCGCTGTCACAATCGAAGTTTGCGGCCGTGCTCACAAAGAACAATACCAACCCCCACCTTTTCTTTTGCCGTTTTTTTTTTTTTTGTTCCATCAATTCGTATCCCGATTGACGATTCTGTCCTCCGACAAAAATCGAACGGCCGTGCACATGTCCCCGCCGATGGCCGTCGACCGTCGAGAGCCCCATGCATGTATATATGTACATATATACATGCATGAGACTCTCGATGGTCGACTGCAATCGGCGGGGACATGCGCGCGGCCTGTTCGATTTCTGCCGGAGGACAGATCGATATATATATATATATATA